TATAAAAAAAGACGTTGAGACTCTAGAAAGAGTACAGAGAAAAGCAACAAAGATGATGAGGGGACTGGAGGATAAAACATATGAAGAACGGTTACATGAACTGGGCATGGCTAGTCTAGTGAAGAGAAGGACCAGGGGAGACAGGATAGCCGTCTTCCAATATTTGAGGAGCTGCCCCAGAGAGGAGGGGGTCAAGCTATTTTTCAAGGTACCTGAAGGCCAGGCAAGGAATAATGGATGGAAACTGAACAAGGAGAGATTCAACTTGGAAATAAAGAGGAATTTTCTGACAATGAGAACAATCAACCGATGGAACAGAAGTTGACTTCAGAAGTTGTGGGAGCTTCATCACTGGAAGCTTTCAAGAAGAAACTGGACAGCCATCTGTCAGAAATAGTGTGGAGTCTTCTGCTTGGGTGGGTGTGGGGTTGGACTAGATGACCTCCAAGTTCCCTTCCAACTCTGTTAGTCTGTATCTAAAGGCTCTAAACACCAAATTGGAATTTACACCTTTCTTGTTCTTTTTTTTTTTTTGCCCCCAATGATTATATTGTAATTGTTCGGGGCTCTTGTCCCACCGTGGCAACCTAGCAAGAATAATGGAAACTTCTGATTTGAAACTCCCCCAAAAGGCAGGTCTGGGGTTTGTTTTTGTTTTTAAAATACTCATTCAGGGTAAATTGAGACCAAATTCTCCAACTAGATCAGCTTAATGGAAAAGGAGCCAGCAATTGTGAAGAACTCTGCAGGAGGCCAGTCTAGATTTGTTTTGCTGACCTCTTTCCGGAGAAGTCTTTATCTTTAAAAATTAAACTCCATTATAAAATCACTTTCCTTTCCTTCTGACCGGTGGCCCTGTGGAACAACAAACTCAAATTCAGCGGTGAATCAATAGCTATTTCAGACTCTTGGATTAAATGGGGGAGGGGGGGAAATGAAAAAATCTCCAAAATTCAACTTTTGCTTACAATTGGAAGCAAAAACACAGAGGAAGCACAGAGGGAGCATTACAGGTGGATCTCGACTTTCAAGAGTTCATTTACTGACCAGTCAAATGGGGCAATGGGGGAGGGGAGGCAGGGATTTTTGCTACCGGTTCTCTGAACCACCCGCCTCCATTGCTACCGGATCGGGCGATCCGGTCTGAACCGGGAGCATTTCACCCCTGGCTTGAAGTAAACAAAACCCTCTGAACTCGATTCGGAAGTGCTGACCAGGAAGGACTCTCTAAGCTTTTCTTTCCGGGTCAAATGCCCAATTTTGCTGAAGACCAAGTTTCCCATTTATCGAAACTGTTCTATAAAGGTAGTCCTTGACTTATGACCGCAACTGAACTCAAAATTGCTGTTGTTAATGGAGACATTTGTTAAGTGAGCTTTGCCCCGTTTTATGACCTTTCTTGCCGTTAAGTGAATCGCTGCAGTTATTAAATTAGTAACAAGGTGGTTAAGTGAATCCGGATTTCCCCATTGACTTTGCTCCTCAGAAGGTCACAAAAGGGACACAGCAACCGTCATAAATACGAACCAGTTGCCAGGCATCTGAATTTTGGTCACGTGACCATGGGGGTGGCACACGTCGTAAGTGTGAAAAACGGACATAAGTTGATTTTTCTAGATCTTTGAATGGTCACTAAGCAAACTGTTGTAAGTCCAGGACTACCGGTAAACATCTCTATACACATAAAACCCTCAAATGTTAGATGTCTATGGAGATTCTCAGTCATCCAAAAAGGTGCTTTTTTTTCCCTCCCAAGAGGCAACTGGATTTTCTGGTTTTTTCTTTGAAGAGGTTTCACCTCTCATCCGAGAAGCTTCCTCGGCTTCTCTCAGAAGCTTCCTCAGCTTCTCTCAGAGCTGAAGAAGCTTCTCGGATGAGAAGCGAAACCTCTTCAAAGGAAAATCCAGAAAGTCCACTTGCCTCTTGGGGAAAAAAAAAAAAAAGCACCTTAAATGTTAGCTTTAGATTAATAGGCAGTATATCCACCAACTCAAAGGTAGGAGAATTAAATCAATAATTCTTCATTCGTTGGTGGGAAAGGAAAAACTTCTTTCTCTTCCCATTCATGTTTGACCCAACTGTGTTTCGTAAACGTTGTCTCTGTAATTTTATAAACGATTCAGAAGCCCTATATGTTCAATATTTAGTTTTTTTCCAACAGCCAGACGACAATATATATAGTTTTTTCTTCTTCTTTGCAATGGCCTCTTTCAATTGCTGAAGAAGCGATAACATCGCCAAGGAGATATAATGGTTTAGCAAATGAAAGGCTGTAATGAGGCTGTTCAGACAGTTTTGAAGTCGGTCAAATTCTTTCTTGTCGCAACGCACAATCCGTTTTTCTAAATGCGTTCCTTTATGGTTTATCTTGGACTCCACTCTGTTTCTCTGATACCTAGAGGCATCCAGCAATTAAAATATAGTAGGTGGCTGATTAACAGGAATACATATAAGAGGAAGGAGGTTAAAGCCAATTTAAAAAAAACCCAAAAAACATCCAAACTCACAAATTGAATGGATCCTAGCAGAACTCAATCAGTTGAGGGCCTGGCCTTCCCTACATCAGCAAACACACAGATTCTCCAAAGCAGAAAGGAAACACCTTGTGATAGAATTGAAAAACTTGAGGATTGCTAGACTTAAGTTCTCAAACAGAATGGAAATGGGGAAGGGTGCTGGGAATCGTAGTCCAGCAATATCTGGATTTTATTTTTTTTTATAGACGCCTGGGATTGGTAATTGAGGATGGGGGAAGAGAGAGAGAGAGACCATCGTGGGTGTGATATCACACACATAAATCAGATTACCTTTTTTAAAATTTTCTTTCTCTCCACGTTTTTGCAGTTATGCAGAAAAGAAAAATACAGAATAACAGAGTCAGAAGGGACCTTGGAGGCCTTCTAGTCCACCCCCTGTTCAAGCAGGAGATCCTATACCATTCTGGACAAAGTTTTGTCCAGTCTGTTCTTAAAAACTTCCAGTGTTGGAGCATTCACAACTTCTGAAGAAAAGTTATTCCACTGATTGATTGTTCTCGCGGTCAGGAAATTTCCCCTTAGTTCTAAGTTGCTTGTCTCCTTGATTAGTTTCCACCTGTTGCTTCTTGTCCTGCCCTCAGGTGCTTTGGAGAATAGAATGACCCCCTCTTCTGTGTAACAACTCCTCAAATATTGGAAGATGGTTATCATGTCACCCCAGTCCTTTTTTCCCCACTAAACTATCTACACCCAGTTCCTGCAACCGTTCTTCCTATGTTTTAGCCTACAGATCCCTAATCATCTTTGTTGCTCTTCTCTGCACTCTTTCCAGAGTCTCTACAGCTTTTTTATAATGTGAGGACCAAAACCAAACATGAAATTGTGGTCGTCATCATCATTTAACGACCCCATAATCCCTTGCGGGGTGGAGTCTGGCCAACTGAATGGAGCTAGCAGAGTGTTGACTGGCCAGATGCCCTTCCTGTCGCCAATGCGGAGTTTTGTTCAGCAGATCGATTCTCATTGTGCCCAGAGAGAGAAATATTCGCCTCTACTTAGGATCGAACTCACGGCCTCCTGATTGTGAGATGAGAGCTCCACCTCTAGGCCACCGCACCACTCCCAAACATGAAATTGTGACACTGTTGAAAAATCAGTTGGTCAAAGGGTCAAAAGCTGCCTGCTGGAAGATACTCCCGCGAGCCACAAACGATAAGATGCAGTCAACTTACGGGGAGTTCCTTCAGCCATTTCGATCGCAGTGATACCTAAGGACCACAATGAACACAAGTCTCTCCAGCTGTTGTTGGGCATCCTTTACCCCCCACCCAGGGGTGAAATCCAAAATTTTCCCCTACCAGTTCTGTGGGCGTGGCTTGGTGGGCATGGCTTGGCTTGGTGGGCGTGGCAGGGGAAGGATACTGCAAAATCCCCATTCCCACCCCACTCTGGGGCCAGCCAGAGGTGGTATTTGCCAGTTCTCTGAACTACTCAAAATTTCCGCTACCGGTTCTGCAGAACCTGTCAGAACCTGCTGGATTTCACCCCTGCCCCCACCCCAACCATTTAAGAGCCATGTTCAAAGAAAATCTTGCAAGAGGGCCCCATTTTGAGAGGAGGGGCTCCCAAAAGGCAAATATCCCCACTCCCAAATACCCCCAATAAAATATATTCTGAAAAATGTTGTATTGCAGAGGCTATTTATACTCAGTGGTCCTCAACCTGGCAGTGGATGTCATCCCAGAGGGGTCCACGAAAGCTTGAAGGAATGTTATGATTTGAATCTTGAGTTAAGTCTTGTGAGCTCTGGTGGCTCAGCAGACTACTTAACATCCACTTACATCTGCTGCCTGCAATTACTGCAAGTTCAAATCTCACCAGGCTCAAGGTTGACTCAGCCTTCCATCCTTTCTAAGGTAGGTAAAATGAGGACCCAGTTTGTGGGGTCAATAAGCTGACTTTGTATAAATATAAAAAAGGATGAAGGCTATTGCTTAACACATTGTAAGCCGCCCTGAGTCTCCGGAGAAGGGCGGCATATAAATCAAATTTTAAAAACAAAAAACACATCTTAAAATTCTAATTTCTTACTCTAAAGAAGTAATACAAAAAAAAAAAAAACGCTAAAGAAGTAACACAGATGTTGAGCAAACAGGCAGTTTTTCAAGATCCTGTTTCTAAGACAGTAAAAGCATTGGAGAGGAGCCGAGGTGGCGCAGTGGTTAGAGTGCAGTACTGCAGCTACTTCAGCTGACTGCTAGTTCAGCAGATCAGCGGATCAAATCTCACCGGCTCAAGGTTGACTCAGCCTTCCATCCTTCCGAGGTGGGTAAAATGAGGACCCAGATTGTTGGGGGGGCAATATGCTATTTAGTATACTGTTGATTGTTGTAAGCCGCCCAGAGTCCTCGGAGAGTGGGCGGCATAGAAATATGAATAATAAAAGAAAAATAAAATAAATTACGATAAATTGAGGAGCAATTTTGATTTTTACAGGAATGTAAGAACCGACGGAAACTGGGACACACTCTTGAGTAACCTTTTATTAGTGTAAATGCTTACTGCCGTTTTCGATGATTATCAATGCAAATGTTATTATGACTGGTAACCAAAACAATTCAAGACTTTTGTTGGTGAGTATTGCTGTGCTTTTTGTGTGTGTGTGTGTGTGTGTGAGTTTTTTGTTTTGTTCCTTTCTCTCCTTTGTAGGCTGACGTTTTCCCCTCAAATGTCAAGCTGGTAAACCGTTACACCTTTTTTTTAACCTGGAAAAGAAAAAAAAACAAACCCCAAATAATAACCCTGTGCAGATGCTGATATGACCATTTAGTACGCAAGTCGAGAAGATTAGGAAATGTTTAGATCTGCAGACTGTTTAACAATCCTCAGCACGTCAAATGCAACAGGAAGGAAGTCCCCAAGACACCCGAAAAGCCAGAATTAATTCACGTTTTCCCAAAATTTACAGAAAATTAAAGGGCGGTCAACTTCCTAAGAATTGAAGAAAAGACAATGGCAACTGTCACGGACGATGAAGAATTAGCTTGAGAACAAAACGACAAATGGATTGTTGAGCGGACGAGATCTCTTCCAGCCATGGGGGATTGCAGAACGAAAACCAGAGTTGCCCTTGGCGTGGTCCATCTTCCATAACAACACGGCGTTGGTTAATCTTGTAGGGAAGATCTTCTACAGTGCATCCTTGGTAGAAAGGGTCCCTTGAGCACAATTTCGAAATGCGAGACTTATTTTTTATTTTTGTTACTACTTGTGTTTCACATGTATGACGGGTATGCTTCCTAAATTCTGTCTATTTAAAAAAAAAAAATCCATGAAAACTTCTGAAGTACTAATATATATATATCTATATATATATATGTATATATAAATATGGAGTCTTACTCTATTTGTATATAGCATCGGAAGTCAACTCATTGTCAACTTACTTCAAAATACTATTCGATCCAGGGGTGAAATCTACTTACCTTCCCTACCGGTTCGGAAGTGTGCACGCCTTGGACCCTCTGCGCAAGCGCAGAAGGTCAAAAACAGGTTACTTCCTGGTTAAAACCAGAAAGTAATGATGTCCGAGCGGGTGGGCGAAGCCTCGCGCTACCGCCGCTACCGGTTTTCCGAACCACCCGACACCGCCGCTACCGGTTCGCCCGAACCAGTACGAACCGGTAGCATTTCACCCCTGATTCGATCCCATATCCCCTCTCTTTCTCTCTCTCTCTCTCTCACTCTCTCTCTCTTTCTCTCTCTCTTTTTATAATAAAGCACAAATCATTCTGTACATTAAAAGACAGAAAACTCAGAAGTCGGCTAAAAAAGTAGGCTCCCCCCCGCTTTGTTAATAATTTTGTAAATGTAAACAAAGAGAGGTTTCAAGTATAAAAGCGAGTTACTTTGTGACTTGGCAAAAGAGTTTGGCACCTGATGACGTCGGGTTTTAAAGGTTATATTTTTGTTTTGTTTTGTTTTTCGTTTTAAGGAATTCTGGCTCATTGCAAAGCCGGCCGAAAAGAAGTCTAGATCTTTGCTACCATATATCGCTGGTGAAACTCAGCTCTCTCGTGGACAAGGGGAGTAAAGAGGGGTTTCTGTGGAAGTCCTGGACATCCTTCACACTGCTGTTCAGCGGTAACTGCCCGTTGAGTAGCGTCAGGGGTATATTGCAGTAAGTGTGGTGGTTACTGCTTAGGGCAGCAAGCGGGAGGGTCGCGGATTGCACGTTGTATTCGTAACCCCTGCAGTAATGTCTCATATGGGCTGCGTTGGTGGGCTGGTAATCTCCCAAGTCCGCCTGAGATGAAACTAACGTAGCAGAGGTATCCGTCACCGCGATGGAAGGCACTGTTTGCAGGTCACCGAAGAGGCCCTGTTCGGCGGAATCCAGGACTTGGCGCCGCGAGATCACTTCTTTCTTTTTGGCCGGCATCTCGTAGAGCAAGCGTTTCCAAAATTTAGAATTCAGCTTGTTGCTTGGGGGCCCTTTCCACGGGACGACCGAGAAGAGTTTGATGCTGTGCTTCAGCGATTCCACTTCTTGGTAATTGACTTTCCCTTTCAGGTGGGGGCACTCGATGAAAATGACTTTGACCTCGCCGCTGAGGAGCATGTTATGGAGCCGGTTTTCCATCTCAAAAATACTCCACCCGCGTCTGAGGACGTAATTCGGTGTCAGGACAATCAGGAGCCGGCGGCTTTGTTCTATACATCTGGCAAGATCTTCTAGATAGGCTGCAAATCATAAGATGGACAGTAAAATAGAGAAGTACACACAGGAGAGAGAGAGAGAAAAAAGAAGACAAAACTTTGCAATCAAAGTGAGGGACGGAGAAGAGAATGGATTAATCCTTCTTGACCAGTGCCACCAACAGTTTAAACCAGGGATCTCCAAACTTGGCATCTTGTGGACTGGGAGTTGAAGTCCACAAGTCTTAAAGTTGTCAAGTTTGGAGACCCCTGGTTTAAATAGTCAAGATAACTCCAGATCCCTTGTTTTCACTGGGCTTCAACACTCCTTCAACTGAGCTCTGATGGCTGAGTCTAACTTCAAGAGCCATCAAGTGGAGAACTTTGGAAAAAGTTTTTTCTTCACATGAGCTCCTAAATTGGAGAAACGCTGAGTATCTATCATGGCCTTTCCATGATCGCAAAGTCATCTGCATAGACACCGGATTGGACTTTCTTGACCTGGTAGGACTCTAGATGTTTTCCGCATCAGGTCTGAACATCTCTACCATCCCTTGGTGATATATTTCCCCTTCCAAACGGGCCCCCCTACTAAAATTAACATGTTCCTCCCCCTCTCTAGAAGACGTTGACTTAACCTCACGGGCCGTTCACAAGTCATATTGTGAATTTTGGCTCAGTGTGTTGTGTGGAACCACATTTATGGTCAGATGGGAGCTGCTGGAAATGTGCAGTCCAACGTATTCTGGAGGTCCACCTAGTTTTAGGGATTTACAATATTGCCGAAATGACCATTTTCTCCCCCGCATACATTATGCCAATGGCGGACATGTTCTTGGTTTCTGGTACTTTATGGGTTGTTGAGTTTGGGTGGGATTGTCTTTTGATCCCAGGAACACACATCCCTTCGCGTCATCTATCGACGAGATTTGGAGGCACAGATTTTTGCTCGGCAGCCGAGCGCTTTGGAACGCCCGGTGGGAGAACCTAGCCAAAGTCCTACTCTACTTACTTCTTTCAACTCTCCTTCCATTGGAAGATAGGGGCACCAGTTGGAAGAAGAGCCTGCAGAAGAAAGATAATATTGTAGGGGTTGTTCCAACTGGAACTCATCCCATGTACAACTGGGTTGGGTAGGGTTGGCCCAAAAAAAAAAAAGAAAGGAAAAGAAAATCATGGACCAGAACTTGCAACATAGATAAATACACAGACACATAGACACACACACACACGGACACACAAAGAAGAACACACAATACTGTTTTGGAGGTTACAGATGGAGAAGACCTCCTAACGGGGGGTACAGACATCTTGTTCCCTAGAGTCAAATGTATATCAGATGTTAAGTGACGGGAAAGGGGAGAGGAGAGGAGAGGAGAGGAGAGGAGGAGAGGAGAGGAGAGGAGAGGAGAGGAGAGGAGAGGAGAGGAGGAGAGGAGAGGAGAGGAGAGGAGAGGAGAACAAGGTCTCAGCAAGGTCAGATCCATTCGACTGAATCTGGAGTCAATCTGGGCTTGTCATTGCAAGCGACGTTCACATTTGGCACCGTATGCGCGAACGAATCCTTCTGTCTCTTTTGCGCTCCAGTTTGAATGAAATGGGCAGAAACCTTTACCGCGTGCAACATGATCTGAACTGATCTGCTCTTTCTGTTGACAAGCATCGCCTTGCAGTTCCTCCCTGGAGATCCGACGTGGAAGTTTGCCTCCCTTATGAAGTGTGCTCTGTCCTACGAGAGAGCAACTGAGCTGGTGGTGCAGGCTGACTCTGCCGACTGACAGCAGTTCGATCCTAACTGGCTCTAAGTTGACTCAGCCTTCCATCCTTCCGAGGTGGATAAAATAAGGAGCCAGATTGTTGGGGGCAAGAGGCTGACTCTGTAAACCACGTAGAGAGGGCTGAAAAGCACTGTGAAGCGGTATATAAGTCTAGGTGCTGTTGCTATTTTCCTTCCTTCCTTCTTTCCTTCCTTCCTTCCTTCTTCCTTCCTTCCTCCCTCCCTCCCTCCCTCCCTCTCTCCCCCCTCCCTCCCAGTGGTTAGAATGCAGTATTGTAGTATTGTAAAGTATTGTGAAGCGGTATATAAGTCTAAGTGCTGTTGCTCTTGCCCTTCCTTCCTTCCTTCCTTCCTTCCTTCCTCCCTCCCTCCCTCCCTCCCTCCCTCCCTTGTGAAGCGGTATATAAATCTAAGTGCTATTGCTTGTAAAGGAAGGAAGGAAGGAAGGAAGGAAGGAAGGAAGGAAGGAAGGAAGGAAGGAAGGAAGGAATCCATGGTGGCACAGTGGTTATAATGCAGTATTGCAGCCTAATTTTGCCCACTGCCAGCAGTTCGATCCTGACCGGCTCAAGGTTGACTCAGCCTTCCGTCCTTCCGAGGTGGGTAAAACGAGGATCCAGATTGTTGGATGCAATAGGCTGACTCTGTAAACCGCTTAGAGAGGGCTGTAAAGCACCATGAAGCGGTATATAAGTCTAAGGGATATTGCTACTGAGGGATTTATTGGCCAACTGTCTGATTCCCCCGTACTTGTTTCCCAAGAGAGCAGGCGAATAGCAAAAGCTGAGTAAGGAGGTGGAAAAGTGAAATACATCACAAAGACGGGACATTGGGAACTTGGACAAATGCGTGCACTTCGGCTTTGTGGATGGATGGATAATCCCTAGTGTTGGGGCCATAAAATCTCCGAAAAAACTTACATTCGTCTCTCTATTCTATTCTATTCTATTCTATTCTATTCTATTCTATTCTATTCTATTCTATTCTATTCTATTCTATTCTATTCTATTCTTCTATTCTAAAAATCTAATTTAAAAGCCGTCTCGCTTAGCAACAGAAATGTTGGGCTCAACTCTGGTCGTAAATCGAGGATTCTCCTGCAATCCCCCTCTACCTTTTTTTTTTTTAATCCTGACCAAAAAAATAAAAATGGATTCTGCAACGTTCCCTCAGACCGCTAGTAAGCGAGTCCTTCGCAAAAAAAAATTAAAAAAAATGCTTCTTACGATTCCGTTTGCTGCGTCTTCAGACTGCCAGCTTCGACTATCAATCTCTGAAACTAGAACGACATCGCCAGGTATGTTCGTCAGCCTGAAGTGAACATTCATACTTCCCCCCCTTCCCTCTCCCCAAGAGAGGACAACCCCGTTGGCATTTCCTAATGACCAGAACCTGTCAAACCCAATCTTCCCTCCCTAGCAAAGAAATCAAGAAACAGCTGTCAGCAAAAGGCCACTGCCTTTTACAAGACGCCTCTCTGCGTCAGCTAGCTGGCAGAGAAGGGTCGTTCTGTTTTGCCTTTCAGTGTTATTTTGCGTAACAGTGGCATATATATTATTTTTAAAGGGAGGGTGACAACTCTCTAAACCAGGAGTCTCCAACCTTGGCAACTTTAAGCCTGGCGGACTTCAACTCCCAGAATCCCCCAGGGCTGGGGGAATTCTGGGAGTTGAAGTCCGCCAGGCTTAAAGTTGCCAAGGTTGGAGACCCCTGCTCTAAACCAGTGTTGGCGAACCTTTTTCGGCACTAAGTGCCACAACGGGAGAGTGCACGTGCGCACGGGGGAGTATCAGAAACCGGAAGAGCAGTTCCCCGGCGCGCATACACGTCCCGGGAAGCTGAGCTTCCGGTTTTCAACGCCAGTCACCTGCTCTTTCAGTTTTTGGTGCGCAGGCGCCCACGAAGACCAGTATGCGTGCCGGAAACTGGAAGCACAGCTTCCCGGCATGCGCATGCATGCTAGGGAGCTGCTCTTCCGATTTCTGGCACTCCCACGCATGTGAAAACCAGCTGGCCAGCATGCATGTGTGTGCCGGAACCCGGAAGAGTAACAGGCGATGGCTGGTATGCCCGGAGAGATGGCTCTGCATACCACTTCCATGCCATAGGTTCGCCATCGCGGCTCTAAACCGATGTCCTCTAGAGGTTGTTGACTGCAACTCCCATCAGCCTCAACCAGCGTGTTCCGCGGCAGGGTGTAGTGGGAGTTGTGGCGCAAAATATGGAAATTGTACTATCTTGCCCTTGCGGTTCTGCAGAATGTTGACATGGGCCCCATAGACTTGTAACGTGGGAAAGGGTCATTTAAGTCACCGGGATCTATTGGTGCAGTGGTTAGAATGCCATATTGCAGGCTAATTCTGCCCACTGCCAGCAGTTCGATCCTGATCCTGGCTCAAGATTGACTCAGCTTTCCGTCACCCCGAGGTTGGTAAAACGAGGACCCAGATTGTTGGGGGCGTGAGGCTGACTCTGTAAACCGCTTAGAGAGGGCTGCAAAGCACTGTAAATCGGCATATAAGTCAAATGCTATCGCTATGCAAAATGATAGCTTGATGCTCTCACCCTAGGAAGCTCCTAAGTTTTTCCACTCTTCTCCTCTGGTGACAACAATCTTCGGGGGACCCTAAGCCCAAAAACAATCTAGGGAGCTCTCCTGAAGCATAGCACACACACACACACACACACACACAAACCCCTGGTAACTCTATTCTATGAATTGTTCCCATTCTCTGGCTTTAAGAGATGTATTTCCTCTGAGAATAGGGTCTCGTTTTAATTGCTCCGGGTTAAAGCCGATCAAAGATGCGTTTAACGTGAAGAACGGAGCGAGCATCTCAGAAGCATTCCAAGTTGGCTTTCCCTGCCCAGATCCAGAAGTTTTCTGTGAGTTGCAAAACCCAAGCCGGTTTGGAACGAAACCAGTCTTGAGTCCCCATTTATATTCTGTACCATCATCATTAGCAGGCGATTAAGCCCTTCCTTAATCTTCTGCATGAAAGCATCAAATCTGTTCAAAAGTATACGAATCATTTCAGTTTTGCAAGGCAGGAAGGGAAGAAAGGAAGGGGACAGCGTTATGCTGCGCTGTGAGATATAAAGATATATATTAAAAACAAAAAAACAAAAAAAAACCCCAACGTGCCAGGTAGCACTGCATGTTATTTTGATGATGCTTAATGACTCTCCGAAATTACAATGATGAAGATTTTTGTTGGCGCGTCTGAGTGACAGATGGACAGAGAAAGAAAATGCAACCCTGTTCTTTGGAAGCACCTGCGAGGAAGCTGATTCATCTAAAGCATTTGTTCTCTTCGCTCTTCCTGTATTGACTTAAAAGCCTTTGATTCAGCTCCCTTCTTTTAAAATCAAGCTCGGAGCAACACCAGCTGTGCGCAAAATTAAATCTGAACCCCCCCTCCACACACACACACACACACACACACAGCTCCTAACAGCTGTAGGTTGGCATGTAGTTATGTACCTGATTCTTTGCTTTAATTTTGATTTGTTGGATGACGATTATGTGGAACTACGGTGCTACGCCGAGTGAAAATATTAACAGACGGCGCTGGCCCTGCGTGCTTGCAATCAAACAGTGTGTTTTCACACGTCGGGCAAATTTAGAATGGGACTTGTTGGGTTTGGCTTCATCCTTTGCCCTACTAGGAGGGAGGCGGTGGCTCAGGGGCTAAGATGCTGAGCTCGTCGATCGAAAGGTCGGCAGTTCAGCGGTTCGAATCCCCAGTGCCGCGTAACGGGGTGAGCTCCTGTTCCCTATCCAGGTTTCTGCCAACCTAGCAGTTTGAAAGCAGATAAAAAATGCAAGTAGAAAAATAGGGACCACCTTTGGTGGGAAGGTAACAGCGTTCCGTGCGCCTTTGGCATTGAGTCATGTCGGCCACATGACCACGGAGAGGTCTTTCGACAGCACTGGCTCTTCGGCTTAGAAACGGAGATGGGCACTGCCCCCTAGAGTTGGGAACGACTAGTACATATGTGCGAGGGGAACCTTTACCTTTTACCTTTACCTTTGCCCTACTAGGGTTTGTAAATGTGCTCTAGGGCAGTGATGACTAACCATTTTGCTGTCGCATGCCAAAAGCGGAGGGGAGTGTGTGGGGGAGTCATGGGCGTGCGTGCCCACATCCATAATTCAATGCGCCTCGCCCTCCCGTGCATGCGTACGCAACCCCACCACACAACCATCCCACTTTTGGCACATGATTGCCCGGTGGGCCCGGTAGGCTTGTTTTTCACCCTCCCCAGGCTCCAGAGGCTTTCTTGGAGCCTGGGGAGGGTGAAAACAGCGTTCCCCACCTTCCGGAGGCCGGAAACAGCCCGTTTCCTGACTTCTGGTGGGACCAGGAGGCCCAAAAATCAGCTGGCTGGTGCACACATGCACGCTGGAGCTGAGTTACAGCAACACTCACATGCCCACTGATATGACTTCGCGTACCACCTGTGGCACGCTTGCCATAGCTTCACCATCATGGCTCTACGGGATGCTTCAATCCTACAATCCATTACTGACAGTGATGACTGGCCCGACAGCCAAAGGAGACACAAATTATGATTGACTTCCTACGGTGACAGGGTTTCACCTAAACCCCAAACAAACAAGAGTTCAGGATGCTGTGTGCAAACCCAATCATTATCTTTTCCGGAAGACGTTTCTTTACAAAATGGGCCTTCTTGGGACTCTGAATTTAAATGGACCATTTGGTGTTCTCAGTTCTTTCTTGTTTTTGTGAAGTAAGGTAAAGGTAAAAGTTCTCCTCGCACATATGTGCTAGTCGTTCCCCACTCTAGGGGGCGGTGCTCATCTCCGTTTCAAAGCCGAAGAGCCAGCGCTGTCCGAAGACGTCTCCGTGGTCATGTGGCCGGCATGACTCAACGCCAAAGGCGCACGGAACGCTGTTCCCTTCCCACCAAAGGTGGTCCCTATTTTTCAATCAACAAGCTCAGTGTCTTAGCAACTGAGCCACTGTGTCCCTTTCTGTGAAGTATCTTGATATAAATTGGGGGGTGGGGGTGGGGGGAGACATTAGGAAGGATGAGCTTTCTCAGCAGCATGAAGAAGTTGTCTCAAACCTCTAGTGGATCAGTACTTACTCCCAGTTGGGATCAGGTCCCGGTCTGGTATGAAGAGCTTATATCCATATTGCTTCTCCAGAACATCCGGCAAGATTTCAAGGACAAATTGCTCTTCCTCCCGGTTGTCACGATCTAATGCGTCGGGATCGACTTTTGTGTACGATAGGTAGGCGTCGTATTCTTTGTTGTCTGCAAATAAAACCACAGAGCTTGGGAGGAGAAGGAAGAGAAGATCTCCCCACGGTTAAAGCGACTTGTGCATGTGGGCATGTCTGAATGGCTTCACTGTCCAGCAACTATAATGGGTAGTTCTGGGTCAAGCAGTGTTTCTTAAACATTGATTTGTTCTATCTAGGATAGGAAAAGAAGCAATGGGTGGAAACTCATCAAGGAGAGAAGCAACCTAGAACTAAGGAGAAATTTCCTGAAAGTTAGAACAATTCATCAGTGGAACAACTTGCCTCCAGAAGTTGTGAATGCTCCAACACCTGAAGTTTTTAAGAAGACGTTCTTAAACCGCTTCAGACAAATGGTGATGCAACATCTTCTTAAAAACTTTCAGTGTTGGAGAATTCACAACTTCTGGAGGCAAATTGTTCCATTGATTAATTGTTCTCACTGTCAGGAAATTTCTCCTTAGTTCTAGGTTGTTTCTCTCCTTGATTAGTTTCCACCCATTGCTTCTTGTCCTGCCTTCTTTGGTTACCTCTTCTTTGTGGCAACCCCTGAAATATCAGAACACTGCTATCATGTCAGCCCTAGTCCTTCTTTTCATTAAGCTAGACATACCCAGTTCCTGCAGCCATACCCAAAATTAAAATTAAGGAGCGATGAAGTAGAATTCGATCTGCAAAATGTTTGTTTTTGAACATTAAAATCCCATTTTTTCCCGTTTGGCGGTTCAAGATGCCAACCTAAGAAAGTCCAAATAACAATTCAGTGACATCCACTTGACTCCAGCTCCTTATTTAGTTATACCGAATGGACAGAATCTTGCCAGACTAAAGTTCTAATCTTCTAACTTAATAGATATTTCCCGAGAGACCTAAGCTGTGGCTACTCTGAACTTCTTCTTACCTCCCCCTGTCCAGTTCAGGACTTTGCAGTCTCTTGTTTTGGGTCCCTCTCTGGAATGTGCTGCCTTCTCTATGGGAAACCATGATGTACATGCCAGAATTCTCTCCCACTCCTTTCTCCAGGTTCCACATTCCATCACACAAGGAGACAATGCAGGAGGGAATTGATAGCACCTTTTCAGATGGACGCATTTTATTAATCAGCATCAGCTTTCAGGAGCTGCAGGTCACTTCAGTAGATGCACGGAGCATTTCTCAAGAAACATCTGAAGAAATGAGCTACAGTAGTGGCCAAAATTGTGGAAAATATACTTTTGGGAAAAGTGTATTTTCTCAAACTAGCTAATAACACCACTTTTTTGGGGGAGTGGTACCATAAAATTACATGTCAATGGAAAGATAATTTAATCAAGAATGTAATGCAATAACTTTTATGACGGATTTGCTATTAGAATAGCAGTTACCGTAGAAAGAAAAAAAGTGAAGTTGAAAAAAAACGAGATATGCAAAAATTAGCACCATAGAAAAAACGAGATATACAAAAATCATCACCATGTCAGTTAATACTTCGTTGGGTAACTTTTAGCATGAATGATGGCCTTACAATGACTTCCCATGGAGTGAACCAAGTCTTTTAGTTCTGCAGCTGTTATAATGTGAAACCAAGATTGGATGATGGCTTCTATTAACCGGGGTTTATTGCTGGGTCGCTTCTGACTAACAAGTTTCTTTAGTCGTCCCCATAGATTTTCAATTGGGTTAAGAAGGTCTGGGCTCTTCCCAGGCCATTCCAGCAATGGAATAGGATTATCTTGAAACTCCAAAAAAAAAAAAAAAAAAAAAAGTAGTGTTATTAGCCATCAAACCTCAAAAATACAACTTTTCCCAAAAGGTTTCCACAATTTTGGCCACTACTGTATATATCTGTCGGAAAATCTGCTATTAGATCCCTCCTGATGTTTTGCTACTGCAGACTAACACAACTCTCTTCCTACAGTGACAACCAAGGATCGAGTAGCCCTTACAAAGTGATTTTACAAATGCAACAAGCAGCAAACGTACAGTAATAAACAATATCCCTGAGACAACTGTTCATATTGACGGTAGAGATAAGCCGATATATTCAATTTGAGTGCTTGACGTGTAACTTTCAGGTACTGTATTTATCACAGCCGATTTTAATGCAGAGAAATCAGATTTTATATCGTTTCCTAGGAACGCAAGTCTATTGGGGAAAGGAGAGGTCGTGACTGAAGATTCTTAGAATGAATTTAATTTCCTGTGACTTCTAGAGAATGAAGATCAAACCGCTAATGCAGTGAAGTCAAAAGCACAGCCTGCTTATCAAGCCTCAATTTTCTACAAACGACTAAAGTTGTGTGCGTTTAAGAAACCACAGAAAATCAATTCAAACAATCCCTTGTTTTCCGACTCAGGAACTCTTAAATAGAAGAGAATATTTGTAGCTCACAATTCATTTTGTACCTATTGAATTGTGAGGTGTTGGGTGCTTCTCTGAGCTTTGTTTTTTCCCCTTCGCAGATATTTCATCATCCAACTTCAGTATCCAGTTTCGTTATCCATTAACATCATCGGTGTGGAAGGGAGTATGAGGTTTGCTCCATACTCAATTTTTTTTCCCTAACGGTTCTGTGGGCGTGGCTTGGTGGGCATGGCAGGGGAAGAATACTGCAAAATCTCCATTCCCACCAGGGGTGGGTTCTACTTACCTTTACTACCGGTTCGCAGCAGGGATGTTGGGGTCGGTGGACGGAGCCTCCCACCGGTTTTACTACCTGTTCTATAGAACCGGGGGCAACCCACCACTGATTCCCACCCCACTCTAGGGGAAGGTTATTGCAAAATCTCCATTTCTACCCCACTCCTGGGGGAAGAATGTTGCAAAATCCCCATTGCCACCCCACTCCAGGGGAAGGATGTTGCAAAATCTCCATTCCCTCCCCACTCCTGGGGGAAGGATATTGCAAAATCCCCATTCCTTCCCCACTCCTGGGGGAAGGATATTGTGAAATCTCCATTCCCACCCCACTCTGGGGCAAGCCAGAGGTGGGATTTACCGGTTTTCCGAACTACTCTAAATTTCCGCTACTGGTTCTCCAGAACCTGTTAGAACCTGCTGGATTTCACTCCTTGGTTTGCTCCCCGTATAGCAATATTTGTGATTTTTTTTTCTTGGTAGTTCCTTCATTAGGGGATTGTTCTCTGCTTGATAGTTTGTCTGGTGTTAATCCCTGCTTCTCTGGATGTTGGCTGCCAGAGATGATATGTTTTGGTCTTAAACAGGGAGCACTCCCTAGCACTGATGTTACCTAGATGGGCAACTGAACATCTGCAACAAAAAAAAACAACCAAGCTCAGAGAGCATCGAGAACTTCAGAAAGACTAAATAATCAATGGGAACCTGGTTTGTTCTTTCATGTTCTTCCAATTATGGTGATTCTCTTAATTTGCACGAAGGACATCTGGCTGTGAATGATGAGATTTGGGGAAAGGTGCAACATTTCTTTTCTCCTTGGTAGAACTGAACTAACAGACGAACTGGGTGTTAGTCACCCAGTTGGCTTTCACATCTAAGATGGGTCTAGAACTCACCATCTCCTGGTGATTGGCCCAAAGTCAACCAATTGGCTTTCATGCCTAAGGCAGGACTAGAACTCACCATCTCCTGGTGATTGGCCCAAAGTCAACCAATTGGCTTTCACACCTAAGGCAGGACTAGAACTCACCATCTCCTGGTGATTGGCCCAACGTCATCCAGCTGGCTTTCATGCCTAAGGCAGGACTAGAATTCATCATCTCCTGGTGATTGTCCCAACATCACCCAGCTGGCTTTCATGGCTAAGGTGGGACTAGACCTTACAGTCTCCTGGTGATTGGCACAAAATTACCCAGCTTGTTATCATGCCTAAGGTGAGACTAGAACTCACCATCTCCTGGTGATCCAAAGTCATGGCTAAGGTGGGACTTGAACTCACGGTTTCCTGCTTTCTAGCCTGGTGCCTTAACCACTAAAACCAAAGTGGCAGATGCTGGTGTTGTATTTCAGCAAGATCTGAAGAGCGATAGTCCTTCTCTAGCTCCATCCGTTGACATCAGTTTCTCTTATTTCAGATGATACTTCCAACGGCTGATCCATATCATGGACATTTGATTACAGCCACGTTTGTATTAGCTATTTACTCTAGAAATCGACTCACCATCCATGGTTTCATCGCCTCCAAACATCTGCCTGTAGCATAACATCAGCTCGATGTTGTAGCACTTATAGATGGTTACAAGTATAGCCAGTAAGAGAAATATTGCTCCCAAACCCCCAGCAAGTTCAATTCTGGAGATCAGATCTAGAATAAGACAAGAATAAGTTAGAAAATGGAATGACTTAGCCTAAGGATGTCAAACTCGATTTCATTGAGGGCCGCATCAGGGTTGTGTTTGACCTTGGCGGGACCAGGGTGGGTGTGGCCAGCTCGATGTCATTCATGTCAGGGGCGCCTGTGGTGGCCCGCCAGTGAAAACCGCCTCCCGAGCTCCGTTTTCGGCTGCGAGGACTTTCTGCAACCCTCTGGCAGCGAAAACAGAGCTCTGGAAGGTCGTCCGCAGCCCTCCCGAGCTCTGTTTTCGCTGGCAGAGGCACTGCGGGATGGCTCTTTGCTGTTTCCAGGGGGACCCCACGGGCCAGATCTAAGCACCCTGTGGGCCGGATCTGGCCCCTGGGCCTTGAGTTTGACACCCCTGACTTAGCGGATCTTTTCTGGGCTCAAAAATTAAGATCGGGCATGGTTGAGATTTGGATGAGAGTTCCAAGGAATTCCAAGCTTGGGAAACTGAAAAGAAAATATTAGAAGAAGACGATAGCCCACTGTTCCAACATGAAGTCTATAAATATATCCATAAAGTTCACCAAGAGTCAAACTTGAGTCAAAAGAAGGTCGATGGAGATTCTCAATCATCCAAGTCATGGTTGTCCCAAAGATGCTTTTTTTATCCCCAAAAGGCGACTGGACTTTCTTGGTTTAAAAAGGTAAAAGATAAAGGTTCTCCTCGCACATATGTGCTAGTCATTCCCAACTCTAGGGGGCAGTGCTCATCAAAGCCGAAGAGCCAGCGCTGTCCGAAGACGTCTCCGTGGTCATGTGGCCGGCATGACTCAACGCCAAAGGCGCACGGAACGCTGTTGCCTTCCCACCAAAGCTGGTCCCTATTTTCCTACTTGCCTTTTTGGCAGAAGCTGGGACAAGGAACGGGAGCTCACCCTGTTACACGACACTAGGGATTCGAACCGCTGAGCTGCCGACCTTTTGATCGATGAGCTCAACGTCTTAGCACTGAGCCACCGCGTCCCTTTCAATCTTTCAATCAATCTTTCGTTCGAGATAGAGCTATATCTTGAACATAAATCACCCAAATCACCCAAATTATTTTCACATTCTTTTGAGTCCCTTTGAAGAATTGCCAGTAGTAGAGTAGAGCCAAACGGAATGGTGTCATGAAATGCTTTTCAAAGCTCCCCACTGGAGCAGAAAGGGGGATTATGAAAATGTTCTCAACCCCGATTTAGCTCACTTCTTGCTTCCGGCACCCAACTGTGGAAAGTCAATGTGATTCATGATAACCATAACTCAATGCCAATGGAAGACCCTCATTAGATTAGAATTCTTTATTGGCCAAGTGTGATTGGACACACAAGGAATTTGTCTTTGGTGCATATGCTCTCAGTGTACATAAAAAGACAAGATGCATCCATCAAGAATCATAAGGTACAACACTTAATGATAGTCATAGGGAACAAATAAGCAATCAAATCATACTAGGAAACAATCAATATAAATTATAAGGATACAAGCAACAAAGTTACAGTCATGCAGTCATAAGTGGGAGGAGATGGGTGATAGGAACGATGAGAAGACTAATAGTAATAGTAATGCAGACTTAGTGAATAGTTTGACAGTGTTGAGGGAATTATTTTTTTAGCAGAGTGATGGCATTCGGGAAAAAATGTTCTTGTGTCTAGTTGTTCTGGTGTGCGGTGCTCTATAGCATCGTTTTGAGGGTAGGAGTTGAAACAGTTTATGTCCAGGATGCGAGGGGTCTGTAGATATTTTCACACCCCTCTTTTTGACTCGTGCAGGATACAGGTCCTCAATGGAAGGCAGATTGGTAGTAATTGTTTTTTCTGCAGTTCTAATTATCCTCTGAAGTCTGTGTCTGTCTTGTTGGGTTGCAGAACCAAAGCAGACAGTGATAGAGATGCAGATTAACAGACCGATATATGTTTGAGACCCTGCGTCGTAACCGGGGGCATTCTTAACCTTGCATCCTAGTTCACCCACCCCTTAAAGATACCACAAGAACGCTATGAGACATTGAAAAGATAATTTACCCTCTATCTCAGCACAGATATTTTATTATTATTTTATTTATTCATTAGATTTCTATACCGCCCTACTCCCGAAGGACTCAGGGCGGTGCACAGCCAAACAATAAAAACACATACAATACAAAATTTAAAAAATAGAATAAAATCAAATTAAATAATTTTGGCCCCGACAAATTTAAACCCCAAACTTTTAAAACCAATTTAAAATTGAATATATAAATACTAAAAGATATTTAAAATTTTAAAAATCTTTTATAAAAGAGGGGGAAAATTAGGCCAGGCCGGCCTGGTGAAATAGTAAGGTCTTTAAGGCGCGGCGGAAGGTGCGCAGATCCGGGATCCTCCGTATCTCTGGGGGGAGCTCGTTCCAGATAGTAGGTGCCCCCACAGAGAAGGCTCTCCCCCTGGGGGCCGCCAGTCGGCATTGTTTGGCTGACGGCACCCGGAGGAGCCCCTCTCTATGGGAGCGTACCGGCCGGTGGGAGGCTATTGGTGGTAGTAGGCGGTCCTGCAAGTACCCGGGTCCTAAGCCATGGAGCGCTTTAAAGGTGGTAACCAAAACCTTGAAGCGCACCCGGAAGACCACCGGGAGCCAGTGCAGCTCGCGCAGGAGAGGTGTTACATGGGAACGCCATGTCGCTCCCATTACCACCCGCGCGGCCGCACTCTGCGCCAGTTGGAGCCTCCGGGTGCTCCTCAAGGGGAGCCCCATGTAGAGAGCGTTGCAATAGTCCAGGCGGGAGGTGACAAGGGCATGAGTGACCGTGCGTAAAGAGTCCCGATCCAGATATGTGTCACCATGATAAATAAGCAATGTGAAAAGCAGAAAACTCAGACGCCATCAAGAATAAAAAGGGGAAATATAATGTTTCTCCAACTTGGATGGCACGATGAGTTTATATATCATCAACATCCCCCTGAACTTTACACAGCTTTACTCGCTGTTGAAGTTCATGGTTAACTTTTCTTCTTGAAAGCTTTTTTTTGGGGGGGTCCTGCAATTTAAGGCTGGAATTCACCGGCTTCTTTCCTTCCAAATGTCACGGAATAAGACGCAACTCCAGATCAATAAAGGAGGAGCTTAGAAAGACATGAAGATTCAACCTGGTGCCTATTTTCTGAGCTTCTTGGAATCCCTGGATGATGTCAGGCAAGCCACGGTTAAGCTACGGAGCGTGCTTCCAGCAGATATGATTTTAACCTGCTGCTCTTTGGAGGTGTGTCAGCCATCTTTAGTGACAAACTGACCACTGATTCAGAATGTATGTCTCTTTGTCCAGCCCTCTCTAATCACAGGGGTCGGCAACCTTAAACACTCAAAGACCCACAAAGGTCCTAACCGGAAGCCCCCCGTTCAATTCTGGAGCTGACCGGAAGTCCGGTTCCCCAACCATAGAGTCTCCTCCTAGCGCGGCGTCCCTTTTCCTCTACCTGTCCTAACTGAAAGCCCTATCAATTGTGGAGCTGACCGGAAAACCCGCCCCTTGCCATAGAGTCTCTTCCTCTGGTTGGTCAGGAGCAGAAAATCCTTGAACAATACTTCTTCTTCTTCTTCCAACAGGTTTTGTTGATTAATCTTCTGTTGATTTTCACCACGCTCCATTTTTTTTCTCCTCTCACTTTTCTGCATTAGAGGGCAAAGCGTGCTGAAGAGCCCTGGTGTACATCCAGGGGTGGGCTTAAATTTTTTTAGCAAGGGGTTCTCTGCCCTGTTGCTGGGTGGGGTTGGGCATGGTGGGCATTGTCAGGGTGCTAATTAATCCCATTCTGCTTTTGGGTAATCGCACCGTGGATCGAGAGTTTTCCTTGCAAGTATACATTAAGAAAATAAACCCCGAAGATATATTTTTCTAAGGAAAACTCATTTATTTGTTATAAAGAAAATAAAACATCTCACTATCTAAATAATTACATTTTGGCAACGTTCCTGCCGGCCACCTCTCTGCGGCCGGACCTCTTGGCAGGAGAATAAAGAAAGTGTAGGAATGCGGACATGCGTAGTGGATCAGAGATAAGGACTTGGCAAGCTACGGAAAGTCTGACAGGCATGGCCTAATCGGCTTCCTGCACCACGGTGGGTGGTGCTTTTGGCCCTCCCTGGGCTCCGGAGGCTTTCCTTGAGCCTCCAGGAGGGTGAAAATGGCCTCCCCAGGCACCAAAGGCCCTCTGGAGGCTTGAAACGGGCACCAAACTTCCGGTAGGCCTGTTTTTCACCCTCTCTGAGCCTTTGCGCATGACCAGCATTTACCTGCATCCAAAACGGGCTGTGTGGGGACTCCTGGGAGGGGCAGGGTGGGGTGGGGTGGGGCGGGATGAGCAGGGCCAGCCAGGAGTGGGATTTGGGGGTTCTCGGAACTGCATAGAATCTTAGCTAGAGGTTCTTCTGAACACCTGCGAACCCCCAGCAGCCCACTCTGCGTATATCACATCTGAGTTGGAACTGGGCAGGGGAGCAAAGAGAATCGTCTCGGAGAAGATTTGACAAGGGAAAGAGTTAAAGATCCCTTTGCATCCTGGCACAGCTTCTCCCATTGTAAATTTTCCCTGCATAAATTACTTTTCATGCAACCCCTGGGCTCAATCCAAGACATGCGTTTGCATGCGTACCTGTCGTTAATTCCAAGCACTCCTCCTTACTTTCCTGTCTACCAACAGTCAAACCAATTTCCGCGTATGGATTTGAATGAAATCTAAAACACCTAACAAGACTCTGATTTTGCACTCAGCGTGTTCTCCGAGAAAGAAAGCATGTTCAGACAGCATGGGAAGTGGCAGAAAAATCATTTTTATAAATTGACCAGGCTGGTTAAAGAAAAGGGGGGAAAAAAATAAAATAAAACCCAGTAACAAAAACCTGTGAAACATACTAAGAAGAAAATCTACGGTATGAAGGAAGGTATCTAAACCCTTGAGTTGAATAGAAAGGAAGAATTTGGAAGCGGTGGGACCCCCTTCCGTATCTCTTTAGTGATCCGTTTTGCATATTGCCCTCAGCCATTGTTTAATAGTAGGTTGTAGAAAACTCTCTAATTTTATTTATTGATTGATTGATTGATTTGGCAACAGGAAGGGCATCTGGCCAGGATACACTCAGTTCCATTCAGTTACTCAGACTCCACATCGCAAGGGATTATGTATGGGGTCGTTAAAAGAGGATGGTGATGGTGATGATTGATGGATTGATTGATTGATGATTGATACATTTATAAAGCCACCCGTCTTATAACCGACCTCCGTCTTCCAATAATTGATTGCAGGCAAATAGCAATCAGTTGTTAAAACCTTCCAGTACTGGAGCATTCATAACTTCTGGAGGCAAGTTGTTCCACTGATTAATTGTTCTAACTGTCAGGAAATTTCTCCTTAGTTCTAAGTTGCTTCTTTCCTTGATTCGTTTCCATCCATTGATTCTTGTCCTGCCTTCAGGTGCTTTGGAGAATAGCTTGACTCCCTCTTCTTTGTGGCAGCCCCTGAGATATTGGAAGACTGCTATCATGTCTCCCCTAGTCCTCCTTTTCATTAACCTAGACATACCCAGTTCCAGCAACCGTTCTTCGTATGTTTTAGCCTCCAGTCCTCTAATCATCTTGGTTGCTCTTCTCTGCACTCTTTTTAGAGTCCCAACATCATTTTTACATCATGGCGACCAAAACTGGACGCAAGATTCCAAGTGTGGCCTTACCAAGGCATTATAAAGCGGCATTAACACTTCACATGATCTTGATTCTATCCAAGTTCCAGTTAAGTTGATTTATTGCCCACCCAAGAACTGAGTCAACTAAAGGTCAGCACTAAATTTGAACTGGATAAGAGTCGATGGAATTCAAGGAGTTGGACTTGGAGAGTTTGTGAACATCTAACGATTCTAGGCTGAGTCCTTTCTTGACTCCACCCACAGGCTCTGCCTCTTCTCCTACATCAGCCAAGAAGTGTCTTAGGCACATGCAAGACTTCAGCTGCCCACTTTGTCCTTTCGTTTTCTCCTCAACCCCAACATAGAAACAAACAAAGGTCCACATTTTTGCCCCCTGTGTCTTTATGATCCTCCAGAGGAACCTTAGGAGGTATTTTCATACCTCGCTTGAAAAATTTCCGACAGCACCCTCAACCCCCATTGCAAATGATGAGTGACAATAGGAACTGTAGTCCCCAATTCTTGAAAAGGGAGTATAGGACACCAGCAGAATAACTAAAATCCCCACCGGTATACAAGAGTGATTTCACCGCATTTCATTTCTTAGCCCATTCAATTCCGGAAGGAATATAATACATATATTTTCAGGACGGGAAAATAGCCCCCTTCATTTCTTCAGAATGCGCAGCGACGCTGATGGAGACGGGAATGAAAAAAAAAAGAAGAAGAAAAAGAAAGAAAGAAAAATACCTCGTTTTCTCAGAATGATGCTCGCCTGTTTCTTCCCGTTTCTGTTTTCGACGTGGCATGTGTAATTGGCCAGGTCTGCTTCTTTCACAATGTCAAAGATTAATGTTAACTCCACAATTTTTTCTCCAAGGTGCTCTTTGAGGAGCCTGAAAGAAAACAGAAAAACATTGGCGGGTTCGTTCGCAGGCCTCAAGATAGATGAGTTACTGTTGTGGCCTGTCAGCTGCCAGCCCCTCCAACAGCCAAATCAGAGGAGGAGGAGAAGGAGGAGGAAGAGGTGTGGGGGTCAGACTCCGCATAAAGGCAACCTGAGAACTCCGTACAGAGAACTGCCTCTGTACATTTTTCTTTATTTTGCAAAAGTCACCAGGATTAACTGTTCAAGGCAGACTCGACGCCAATCAGCTTCCAAACAAGGAAACAATTTGCAATTCAGAATAAACAAGCTGTTAAGACCAACTTTTGGAAATAAACTACCCTGTTTCCCCGAAAATAAGACATCCCCTGATAATAAACCCAATCGGGCTTTTATTTATTTATTAATTTATTAATCAAATTTCTATACCACCCTACTCCCGAAGGACTCAGGGCGGTGAACAGCCAAGATAAAATACAGATAATACAAATATTAAAAAGTCCCTTAAAATTATTAAATATTTTGGCCGAAACACAGATTAAAACACCCAATTTATAAAATCACGAATTAAAAAATTTAAAAGAGGAGAGTTAGGCCAGGCCAGCCTGCTGAAACAGAAAAGTTTTGAGAGCACGGCGAAATGTGCGCAGGTCTGGGATCCTCCGTATCTCTGGGGGGAGCTTGTTCCAGATGGTAGGTGCCCCCACAGAGAAGGCTCTCCCCCTGGGGGCCGCCAGTCGACACTGTTTGGCCGACGGCACCCTGAGGAGCCCCTCTCTATGGGAGCGTACTGGTCGGTGAGAGGCTATTGGTAGCAGAAGGCGGTCCCGTAAATACCCCAGTCCGATGCCATGGAGCGCTCTAAAGGTGGTAACCAAAACCTTGAAGCGCACCCGGAAGACCACCGGGAGCCAGTGCAGCTCGCGCAGGAGGGGGGTCACATGGGAGCGCCATGTCGCTCCCATAACCACCCGCGCGGCCTCATTCTGGACCAGCTGGAGCCTCCGGGTGCTCCTCAAGGGGAGCCCCATGTAGAGAGCATTTTGGGAGCATGCGTTAAAATAAGCCTCCCCCCCCGAAAATAAGCCCTCCCCGAAAATATTTAAACACAGAGCTGGAAATCAGGTAAGACGGCAAGAGGAGCCCCATCTTGCTCCATGCTTCCCAAAATAATAAGACCTCCCCAAAAATAAGGCCAAGCGCTTATTTCAGGGGTCAAACAAATATAAGACAGGGTCTCATTTTCGGGGGAAACACAGTAGATGTTTTTTTTTTTCCAGTTTTCTAAATTACGAGGTGGGGACGAAATGCGAGCGACGTCGTTCTGTACCTGATTTCGCCTTCTTTAATATGATTCTCCAGTTCCTCGATAAATTTCTCCCCTCTCGTCCAGTAGATCATGGGGCCCGACTCGCCACTGAAGCCGAAAAATGCTTTGCAAATAACGCTGAGGGGCTGACCTGAAAAGCAACACAGGAGAAAGAGAGAGGAAAAAAGTGACAGTGATGCTTTGTGGCAAGAGAGCACAACAGCCGTCAGTTCGCTTCGTAAAATTTAAGAGTTTGGAACGAATTTTTCGCTTAGGAGAGAGAGAGAGAGCCCCGAAGGACCGTCTCCTCAGGAATAAACAGAGTAGAGTTGTAGCAAGTGAATTCGTTATGGGGAAATAGCGGGACGCGCTTCCCCAGTTGAAAAGATCTTGGTTTCTTCGTGTCAACTGGCCCAGCTTTTGACTAATCAAGGAGAGAAGCAACCTAGAACTAAGGAGGAATTTCCTGACAGTGAGAAGAATTCGTCAGTGGAACTACCTGACTCTGTGGTTTCTTCCCCAAACCCCCACAACTTTAACCTTCGGCTGTCTACTTTCGACCTCACCCCAATTCCTAAGAGGTCCGTCAAGGGGGCGTGCATAAGTGCACCAGCGTGCCTACCGTCCCTGTCCTACTGTCCCCATTTATTTGTATCCGTCTCCTGTATTCGTAATCATGATTATATTTATATCTGTTATCTGGTACATGCTTGACAAAATAAATAAATAAAATAAATAATAAAATAAATAAAACGATTGTCTTCAGAAATTGTGAATGCTCCAACACTGGAGGTTTTTAAGAAGAGGTTGGACAACCATTTATCTGAAGTGGTGTAGGGTTTCCTGCCTGAGCAAGGGGATGGACTAGAAGACCTCCAAGGTCCCTTCCAACTCTGTAATTCTGTTCTGTTCTGTTCTAATCTATTCTTACTAGATTCTATTCTATTCTATTCACTCTCCTCTCCTCTCCTCTCCTCTCCTCTCCCCTCCCCTCCCCTCCCCTACTCTATTCTACTCTACTCTTGAGTCTCTCCTCTCCTCTCCTCTCCTCTCCTCTCCTCTCCTCTCCCCTCCCCTCCCCTCCCCTACTCTACTCTATTCTACTCTACTCTTATTAGATTCTATTCTATTCTCTCCTCTCCTCTCCTCTCCCCTCCCCTACTCTACTCTATTCTACTCTACTCTTATTTGAGTCTCTCCTCTCCTCTCCTCTCCTCTCCTCTCCTCTCCCCTCCCCTCCCCTACTCTACTCTATTCTACTCTACTCTTATTAGATTCTATTCTATTCTCTCCTCTCCTCTCCTCTCCTCTCCTCTCCCCTACCCTCCCCTACTCTACTCTATTCTACTCTACTCTTATTAGATTCTATTCTCTCCTCTCCTCTCCTCTCCTCTCCTCTTGAATGGCTGCTAAGCGACTGTCGTAAGTTGAGGACTACCTGTAACGCTCATAAATTCATAGAATTGAGCACGTTATCATGTTCCCAGAACTTCGGTTTCCAGAAGGATATAAGATGATGCAGCTGGCAGGGAAGCTGCGAAAACGAACTGGACTAGGGATAATGTTCCATCAAAAGGATAATGTTCATTTGAGTTCTTTTAGTTTTGATCTACTTTTCCTAGAGGATCAAATTCTCTTATACGATCCCATCAATGCTCACGGCAGTTGAATTCCATTCAGGATCGTTCTAGGCAAAGCTGAAACTTTGCGAAAGCCACAAAGGGTTTTTTTTTTCCTTCCCCCAAATCCTTACAGTCGAGTTCCAAATCCTTATTACAAGTCACGGCGGCATTACAATTTCTCCCGGGTCAAGAAAGGACTCTTGATTAAGTCAAGATGGCGGCTGTGACGTATGAACGGAGGCCTCACCCCCTTATAAACATGCCTGCAATGCGTCACAACGCTGGTGTGGTCTCCGGCACACCATTAAAAGCCAAAAAGTGTTGCGAAACTCTAATGAATACAAAACATACTGAGCTGAGATTGATCGGAGCCAAGATCGCTTCACTTTTTGGCCCAGGGTTATCTTTCCTTCCTCCCTCCTTCCTGCCTTCACTCCCTCCCTCCCTCTTCCTTCCTTCTTTCTTTCCTTTCCTTTTCCTTTCTATCTTTTCTTCCATCCTTCCCTCCCTCTTCCTTCCTTCCTCCTTTTCTTTCTTCCTCTCTCCTTGCCTCCTTTCCTTCCCTATTTTCCTCGTTCTCCTTTCTACCTTTTCCTCCTTCCCTCCTCTCCCTTTCCTTCCTCCCTCCCTCCTTCCCTCCTTCTCCTTTCTTCCTTTTTCTTCCTCCTTCCGTCCCTCTCCCTCCCTCCTTTCCTCCCTCCTTCCCTTCCCTCGTTTCCTCATTCTCCTTTCTTCCTTTTCCTCCCTCCATTCTTCCCTCTTCCTTCCTCCTTTTCTTCCTCCCTCTCTCCCTCCCTTCTTTCCTTTCCTCATTCTCTTTCCTTCCTTTTCCTTCCCCCTCCCTCCCTCTCCCTCCCTCTCTTCTTTCCTTCCCTCATTTCTGCATTCTCCTTTCTTTTCCTCCCTCCCTGTCCCCTCCCTTTCCTCCCTCCCTCTCTTCTTTCCCTCCCTCCTTCTCCTTTCTTCCTTTTTCTTCCTCCTTCCGTCCCTCTTCCTCCCTCCTTTCCTCCCTCCTTTCCTCCCTCCTTCCCTTCCCTCGTTTCCTCATTCTCCTTTCTTCCCTTTCCTCCCTCCATTCTTCCCTCTTCCTTCATCCTTTTCTTCCTCCCTCCCTCCCTCCCTTCTTTCCTTTCCTTTCCTTTCCTTTCCTTTCCTTTCCTTTCCTTTCCTTTCCTTTCCTTTCCTTTCCTTTCCTTTCCTTTCCTTTCCTTTCCTTTCCTCATTCTCCTTTCTTCCTTTTCCTTCCCCCTTCCTCCCTCTCTCCTCTCTCCCTCCCCCTCTCTTCTTTCCTTCCCTCCTTTCTGCATTCATTTTCCTCCCTCCCTGTCCCTTCCTTCCCTCCTTTTTTTATTCTCCTTTCTTCCTTTTCCTCCCTCCCTCCCTCTCCCTCCCTCCCTCTTTCTTCTTCCCACTGCTGATTTGAACTGGACGTACTTCTGAGTCAACCTGGCCATCAGATCTTCTGAGAACATGGCATCTCCTGATTGATGCCTACGGCCGTTGTGTAAAGCCTAATTTTGGAGCCGAGATTGATGGGAGCCAAGGTTGCTTCTCTTCTTGGCCCAGAAGAAGGGCCTTATCTTTGACCCTGACTTTGAATTAATTAATACAAAACATACATGTAGGACATAAGACGATTGGAGGGAGACTTTCTGTTCCAGTTCCTCAACCTCCCTTTAAATGAGAAAGAATAGGATTTATTTTTATTTTAAAAAATGGGAGAATTTCTATGGCTTGCCCGCATGGGAACTAACGCATTCCATGTTTCCATAAGAATCTGTCTAGGCACATAAACACGTGACAGGGGTTTTTTTTGGCCTTTAATAGGAAACGGCACTTGCGGAGATGTGAGGAAGGGTTTTTAAAACTTATTGAAAGAGTTTTTTGGACAATCAGAAGGAACAGCTTCTGCCCTTTACGGGGCCAACCCCGCTGTGCTCTAAGTACTGGTTGAACAGCTGGGGCTGCGGGTTCTCTATTCAATGACCCAGCAAGATTTCTGTTGGAAGCTACATAAATAAATAACCGAGAGGAAATGAAAAATACTCCAGAGAGGCATCTAATTTCTATAAATGCTAAGCAAATTTCCTGAAGAGATTCTCGTGGTTAGAAGAAATAACAAACACACGCAGAGAGATACGGAGCTATTGCATGTGTATATATGTATAAAAAAAAAAACAAAGTGAAAAACCCACAGCACAGGAGGCGGGCTTCTGCCGGTATGTTAAGGAGACAAACCTGCACACAGGAGCTCAAATTCCCTTCCTTAAACCGCTATTCGAAGCTGAATTTAATAGTGTCATCTTATCCATACTTCCTTCCTTCCTTCTCTTCCTTCCCTTTCCTCCTTCCCACATTCTTTCCTCTTTTTCCTCTCTCCCTCCCTCCTCCCCTCCCTCTTTCTTCCTTCTTTTCCTTCCTTCCTCCCTCCCTTCTTTCCTTCCCTCCTTCCTTCCTTCTCCTTTCTTTTCTTCCCTCTCCCCTTCCTTGATTCCTTCCTTCCCTCCCTTTCTTCCTTTTTCCTTCCTTCCTTCCCTTAGTCCCTTCTTTCCTCCCCTCCTTTTTCCTTTTCCTCCCTCCCTCCCTTCTTTCCTTCCCTCTTTCCCTCCTTCTCCTTTCCTCCTTCCCTCCCTCCCTCCTTCCCTCTCTCCCTCTTCCTCCCTCCCTCCTTTCCTCCCTCCCTTCTTTCCTTCCCTCATTCTCCTTTCGTTTTCCTCCTTCCCTCTCCCCTTCCCTCCTCCCTCCTTCCCTCCCTCCCTTCTTTCCTTCCCTCCTTCTCCTTTTTTCCTTTCTTCCCTCCCTCCTTCCCTCCCTCTTCCTCCCTCCCTCCTTTCATCCCTCCCTTCTTTCCTTCCCTCATTCTCCTTTCTCTTCCTCCTTCCTCCTTCCCTCTCCCCTTCCTTCCTTCCCTCCCTCCCTTCTTTCCTTCCTTCCTTCCCTCATTATTTTTCCTTTTCCTCCCTCCTCCTTCCCTTCTTTCCTTCCCTCCTTCCCTTCTTTCCTCATTCTTTCCTCCCTCCCTTTCACCTTCCTTCCTTCCTTCCTTCCTTCCTTCCTTCCTTCCTTCCTTCCTTCCTTCCTTCTTCCCTCCCTCCCTCCCTCCCTCCCTCCCTTTCTTTCTTCCTTCCCACTGCCTAGTACAGAAGCTGTTCTGAGAACATGGCATCTCCTGATTGATGCCTACGATCATTGTGTCAAGCCTAATTTTGGAGCTGAGATTGACCGGAGCCAAGGTCCCTTCTCTTCTTGGCCTAGGGTTATCTTTGGGACTTAGAAACCCCAATGAAATGCCTAACATGACGGGACTATTTGTCCATTCCCAGAAGGATAGCCATGGTGGCTAGGACTATTTCAGACAAACCACATCCATTTTCATCACATGACTGCAACGGTCATAAGTGCACGGAGTGGTCATCAATCACTCTCCCCCCCCCTCCCGACCAATGCCATTATAACTTTGAACTGTTGCTAAGTGGAAAAATTGACAGATCCAATCCTCTTTAGCTTCTGAACTCAGGCGAGGCTGCCA